GCGCCCAGTGTCGTGTCCGACCCATCGCGACCCCATGGACAACGTTCCTCCAGGCCTTCCTGTCCTCTTCCATCTTCTGGAGTCCATTGAAGCTCACGCCTCCTGCTTCAGGGACTCCATCCAGCCACCTCCTTCTCTGTCGTCCCCTTCTTCTCTTGCCCTCCATCTTTCCCAGCATTAGGCTCTTCTCCAGGGAGTCCTTCCTTCTCATTAGGTGGCCAAAGTACTTGAGTTTCCATTTCAGGATCTGGCCTTCTCAAGAGCAGTTGGGGTTGATCTCCTCCAGGACCGACCGGTTGGATCACCTTGCAGTCCAGGGGACTCGCAGGAGTCTTCTCCAGCCCCAGAGTTCAAAGGCCTCTATTCTTTGGCGCTCAGCCTTTCTTATGGTCCAACTTTCACAGCCGTACATTGCCACTGGGAAAACCATGGCCTTGACTGGACGTGCTTTTGTTGGCAGGGTGTCATCTCTGCTTTTTAGTAGGCTGTCTAGATTTGCCATAGCTTTCCTCCCCAGGAGCAAGCATCTTTTAATTTTTAACTTTAACGTTAGAACGGGTCTTTCCAACCTTGTCCACTTGAAGACTGGTGGACTTCAGCTCCCAGCATTCCCCAGCCAGCTGGGGAATTCTGGGAGCTGAAGTCCACCAGTCTTCAAGTGGACAAGGTTGGAGACCTCTTCAATTAGAAGGCCTCAAGCGGAAGATTTTTCTCCAGTCGCTGGAGAAACCAAGTATCCGTTTGACCTTCTTGGGCCTTCACGTGAAGAGCAAGGTCCGCCATCTTGCATAAACTCCGTCAACTCTAGAAAAAACACAACACCTTCTTAAGGAGAGAGAGAGAAGAAGCCATGATTTAACCAATCATCGGTGGTTAAATCAAGGCTGGAGTTTTAAGCCGGGAAGGGAGTCTATAAGGAGACTCGGTCCCAGCCTCCAACGCAAAGCACAAAAGCACAAGAGCAGGCCTGCTGCCAACTGGCTGTCGCCCACACACAGCCCACCCGCAACCTCACATCACAAAGAGCCGGGAGCGAAGAACAGGGGTTGTAATGTCAGGGCCTTCCAGCTTGGGTGGGGTGGAAAAGGCGAGGCAGGACGGAGTCTGAAGGCCGAACAAGCCGGCCTCTGTGGTGTCTGGAATGGGGACCCCGCTGTGTCCTTGCCAAGATCCTAGTCCTCCTGGGGCAACAATGAGAGAAAATCAGAAAATCAGCTTTCTTTTGCCTGGAGGAATGGCAACATTGGCCTCCCCAGATTCTCCCCCACAAGGTGCCCTCATCAGCTTGGAATGCCCGATTCGGAGCCAAAACCGCTCGGCGTTTTGTGATCTGATTTTGTGGAGACTAATAAAGAGGAAATCTGTGTGGCTCAGGGTTGACATGTGGGGTCCCGGGTGCTCTCTGAGCTGGCTGGTTTCCTTGCGGACATTTCATGACCCAAAGTAGGTAACATCATCAGTGCCCGAAGGGAGTTGGGTTTGCAGCGAGGAGGAGGAGGAGGAGGAGGAGGAGGAGGAGGAGGAGGAGGAGGAGGAGGAGGAGGAGGAGGAGGAGGACGATGACGACGACGACGACTGTGGGGTCCCTGGTGCTTTCTGAGCTTGGTGGCTTCCTTGCAGACGTTTCATCACCCAAACTAGGTAATATCATCAGTGCCAGAAGGGAGTTGGGTTTGCAGGGAGGAGGAGGAGGAGGAGGAGGAGGAGGAGGAGGAGGAGGAGGAGAGCAACTGTGGGGTCCTTGGTGCTCTCTGAGCTTGGTAGTTTCCTTGCAGATGTTTAATTATTGTTTAATTCTATAAACTGGTGTCTGGGAACCTCAGAGTTAGTTTTCTTTCAACATTACCACGCCGTGTGTTCAATAAACGGTAAGATTTCCGGAAACGGAATGAACCTGGAGTTTTATTTGGATCCTCGAGCCGGATGTTGATCTTAGAAGCCATAGAATACCAGGGCCGAAAGGGACCTGGGAGGTCTTCTAGTCCAACCCCCGGGTCTCCAGGGTCTACCAAGGACACAGCCAAAGACGACCCAGGGAGACATTTCCATACCTCTTTCATGAAATCGTTTGGGGGCTGCTACTCCTTACACAGGGGACATTCTGGTGTTTGATGAGCTGGAACCGTGTTGTTCAACCTTGGTGACTTCACAGGTGGCCTTCAACGCCCAGAATCCCCCAGAGACCTTGCTTTTAGAATCACAGGGTTAACGACGCCTGGCACAACCAATGACCAGCTTTAATTGCTGGAGCATAAGAAGAGGAGGAGGAGGAGGAGGAGGAGGAGGAGGAGGAGGAGGAGGAGGAGGAGGAGGACAGCCAGGATGGGTGATTCAAAGCCCGTGACAGGTGACATTTATAGGAAGATGACGCACTCAGCAGAAAACGGATGCTCAAGGAGAAGCATCTGCTGCTTTCGAATCACCGGCAGCGGGCAAGAGGCAGAATAGAATAGAATAGAATAGAATAGAATAGAATAGAATAGAATACTGTAGAATAGAATAAAATAGAATAGAATAGAATAGAAAATGGATAGAAAATGGATAGAATAGAAAATGGATAGAATAGAATAGAATAGAATAGAATAGAATAGAATAGAATAGAATAGAATAGAATAGAATAGAAAATGGATAGAATAGAATAGAATAGAATAGAATAGAATAGAATAGAATAGAATAGAATAGAATAGAATAGAAAATGAATAGAAAATGGATAGAAAATGGATAGAATAGAATAGAATAGAATAGAATAGAAAAGAAAATGGATAGAAAATGGGATAGAATAGAATAGAATAGAATAGAATAGAAAAGAAAATGGATAGAAAATGGGATAGGATAGAATAGAATAGAATAGAATAGAATAGAATAGAATAGAATAGAATACTGTAAAATAGAATAGAATAGAATAGAATAGAATAGAATAGAATAGAATAGAATAGAATAGAATAGAATAGAATAGAATAGAATAGGAATAGAATAGAATAGAAAATGGATAGAATAGAAAATGAATAGAAAATGGATAGAAAATGGATAGAATAGAATAGAATAGAATAGAAAATGAATAGAAAATGGATAGAATAGAATAGAACAGAATAGAATAGAAAAGAAAATGGATAGAAAATGGGATAGAATAGAATAGAATAGAATAGAATAGAATAGAAAACGGATAGAAAATGGGATAGAATAGAATAAAATAGAATAGAATATGGAATAGGAATAGGAATAGAACCGTCATAAACACAGGCCAAGCATCTGAGTTTTGATCGCCCGACCACGGGGACGCTGCAACGGTCGTTAAGTGTGACAAAGGATCACAAGTCACTTTTTTCAGTGCCGTTGGAACTTCGGTCGCTAAGCGAATGGATGTAAGCTGAAGATTACCGGCAGTTGCACCCAGCTCAGAGAGCGCCCTGGAACCCACATTTCAACCCTGAGCTATAATATTCCCTTCTAAAATAAATAAATACTATGTTTCCTGGGCCCTAAATTGACAAAAACATGGAGCACACCACACATTTCGGTGCACCCCGAATGCACAAATGTGACTGTGTGTGTCCCTCAGTGGGTCTCACCCAAAGTCATCAAACTCATCTCCTGTCGAAACTCAAGCTGGATTCAGCTACGCTTGCCTCCAGCAGCTGTGGGTGGTCCAATACAGGCAGTCCTCGACTTACGACCATCGAGCCCAACATTTCTGCTGTTAAGTGAAACATTTAATAGGTGAGTTTTGCCCCATTTTTACGACCTTTCTTGCCACGGTTGTTAAGGGAATCGTGTAGTTGTTAAGACAGTAACACAGTTGTTAAGTGAATCTGGCTTCCCCATGGACTTTACTTGTCAGGTCACAAAAAGGGGATCACCGCGACCGTCATAAATATGAGTCAGTTGCCCAGTGTCCAAATTTTGATCACGTGACCACGGGGACGCTGCAACGGACATAAGTGTGAAAAACGGTCATAAATCACTTTTTTCAGTGCCGGTGTAATTTCGAACGGCCGCTAAACCAACTGTTGTGAGTCGAGGACTACCTGTACTGGAGGTTTTTAAGAACAGATTGGACAAGCATTTGTCTTAAATTGTGTAGAGTCTCCTGCTTGAGCAGGGGGTTGGACTAGAGGACCTCCAAGGTCCCGTCCAACTCTGTTATTCTATTATTCTGCAAGGGTCTCCTGCTTGAGCAGCGGGTTGGACTAGAGGACCTCCAAGGCCCCTTCCGACTCTGTTATTCTGCAAGGGTCTCCCGCTTGAGCAAGGGGTTGGACTAGAGGACCTCTAGGGTCCCTTCTAACTCTGTTATTCTGCAAGGGTCTCCTGCTTGAGCTGGGGGTTGGACTAGATGACCTCTAGGTTCCCTTCTAACTCTGTTATTCTGCAAGGGTCTCCTGCCTGAGCAAGGGGGTTGGACTAGAGGACCTCTAGGGTCCCTTCTAACTCTATTATTCTGTAAGGCTCTCCTACTTGAGCTGGGGGTTGGACTAGAGGATCTCCAAGATCCCTTCCAATTCTGGTATTCTGCAAGGGTCTCCTGCTTGAGCAAGGGGTTGGACTAGATGACCTCTAGGGTCCCTTCTAACTCTGTCATTCTGCAAGGGTCTCCTGCCTGAGCAAGGGGGTTGGACTAGAGGACCTCTAGGGTCCCTTCTAACTCTATTATTCTGTAAGGCTCTCCTGCTTGAGCTGGGGGTTGGACTAGAGGATCTCCAAGATCCCTTCCAATTCTGGTATTCTGCAAGGGTCTCCTGCTTGAGCAGGGGGTGAACTAGATGACCTCTAAGATCCCTTCCAATTCTTTTATTCTGCAAGGGTCCCCTGCTTGAGCTGGGGGTGGGACTAGAGGACCTCCAAGGTCCCTTCCAACTCTGTTACGTCTCCGCCTGGGACACCCCTGCTGGCCACCAACACGTCTTCTTCGGGCCTTCAGCCGGGCCCTGCCGTTTGGGGGAGAAGCCGAGAACCCAACCGGGACCCAGCCAGGTCAACGGGTGAGGCGAGTCCCCTCTTACCTTTGGTGTCGTTGACCGGGTCCATGTGCCTATAAATGTACCCCTCCAAGTAGGAATGGAACTTGGGCGTGGGCGGGAAGAAGGCCAGGCAGATGGACATCAGCTCCCAACCCCGGGCCAGACTCTCGTAGCGGAAGTTCTCGGTGGTCTGCCGACACAGCTGGATGTAGAGTTCGTCGCGGAGGCCCTGCATGCTCCAGCCTTTGGTGGCGATCTCCAGGGCCACGCTCAGCTGGTCGGCCTTGGACCGCCGGTCGCCCATGTACATCTGGATGAGTTTGAAGATCTCGCAGGCTTCCTTCTTGACGTTCCGGTCGCTGGTCATGATCATGGGCTTCTTGATGGACTCGCTGCTCCAGGCCAGCATGTTGGCGATGGAGATCTTGCGCCGGAAGAGGCCCTGCGTGTGCTTGTTGAAGTGCTTGGAGGCCCAGTTCTCAATGTCCGTCTCCGAGGAGGGCTTCCTCAGGTTGAAGGTGGGGAAGATACAGCTGCTGCTGGGCATCATGTTTCGGTTTTGTCGGCTGCTCTCGAACTGGACGCAGGCACCCAGGTCTTCCGACTGGGGAGAGAAGGCAAGAGAGGACAACCGTGAGCGACAACAACAACAACAATAATAATAATAAAGTTGGAAGGGATCTTGGAGGTCTTTATGACAGTTGCAACGTCCTGGGGGGTCACGAGATCCCCTTTTGCAACCTTCTGACAAGCAAAGTACTACTACTACTACTACTACTACTACTACTAATAATAATAATAATAATAATAATAATAATAATAATAATAATGATAATGATAATGATAATAAAGTTGGAAGGGATCTTGGAGGTCATCTAGTCCAACCCCCTGCTCAGGCAAGAAACCCTAAACCAGGGGTCTTCAAACTTGGCCCTTTTATGACTTGTGGACTTCAACTCCCAGAATTCTTCAGTCGGCCATGGATCCAGACCAGGGGCCTTCAAACTTGGCCCTTTTATGACTGGTGGACTTCAACTCCCAGAATTCCTCAGTCGGCCATTTTGATGAAACTGCGGGCTTGGATCCAGACCAGGGGCCTTCAAACTTGGCCCTTTTATGACTGGTGGACTTCAACTCCCAGAATTCCTCAGTCGGCCATTTTGATGAAACTGCGGGCTTGGATCCAGACCAGGGGTCTTCCAACTTGGCCCTTTTATGACTGGTGGACTTCAACTCCCNTTTGATGAAATTGCGGGCTTGGATCCAGACCAGGGGCCTTCAAACTCGGCCCTTTTATGACTGGAGGACTTCAACTCCCAGAATTCCTCAGTCGGCCATTTTGATGAAACTGCGGGCTTGGATCCAGACCAGGGGCCTTCAAACTTGGCCCTTTTATGACTGGTGGACTTCAACTCCCAGAATTCCTCAGTCGGCATTTTGATGAAACTGCGGGCTTGGATCCAGACCAGGGGCCTTCAAACTTGGCCCTTTTATGACTGGAGGACTTCAACTCCCAGAATTCCTCAGTCGGCCATTTTGATGAAACTGTGGGCTTGGATCCAGACTAGGGGCCTTCAAACTTTGCCCTTTTATGACTGGAGGAATTCTGGGAGTTGAAGTCCACGAGTCATAAAAGGGCCGAGTTTGAAGACCCCTGCTCTTACCTCTCATATGGCACCAAGGAATGCTGGGAAGTGTAGTTCCAGCACTCCCGAAGGGCTGAAGAAGAAAAATCTGATTGTTCACTTTCCCAAAGGGTTAATATGTGCTGTTATATGCAAATATTACAAATATTTTTCCCTCTCCTTACAGGGGCATTCCCACCGAAAGATGTGCAGACTGTCTTCCTGTAGACTGAAATTTCCAGTGTCTGCCTTGATGTTTCCAAATATTCACTTTATTTATTAAATTTATACCTGCTATCCAAAGCGACTCTAGATAGATAGATAGATAGATAGATAGATAGATAGATAGATAGATAGATAGATAGATAGATAGATAGATAGATAGATAGATAGATAGATAGATAGATAGATAGATAGACAGGCAGACAGACAGATAGATAGCGAGAGAGAGAGAGAGAGAGAGAGAGAGAGAGAGAGAGAGAGAGAGATAGATAGATAGATAGATAGATAGATAGATAGATAGATAGATAGATAGATAGATAGATAGATAGATAGATAGATAATTTTCCCCTCTTAAATCCCTGCCATTTAGTTGTTTCATTTATTTGCTTCTCTTAATTGTGCATTCAATTTCTTATACAGCCCATCTCACCTAACTGGAGGGGGGTGGGATATTCTGCAAATATAAAACAAGAGAAACACCTGAACGGAAGCACAGATTAAAACAGTGGTTAAGAAACGGGATTAACACTTACAGGTTAAAAAAATATATATTAAAATTCGGTGGGAGAAAAAGCGTAACGAAGCAGAGGTGCATCGCACTCTTGGACACACACACACACATACACACACCCCTGCTAACTTACCACTGATGAAAAAATAAGAATTAAAATTACAGGCCGCGACTGGCTTGTCAGCCAATGCAGTTGGGTTGCTACGAGTGTTTTTATTTGAAATTTGGAGAGTCTCCCGGCACCCTTCAAGTATTTGCTTCACAGAAGGAAATTTAAATTTAAACCCGTTGGCTGTCATTCCAAAATGCAGATTGGGGAACAAAAGACTGAAGTTAAAGAAAATCAGGAAAAAAACTCCCTAAAAGACATTGCCATCCCCACTGCCTCATAACTAGATGACCAAAGGATACCAAATCCTTTCCAAATACTGAGAGAAAAAATTCTCAGGGTTTCTTGCAACCGTTGCTTGTTCAAGAGTTTCTTCCTTCCCCGCTGGAACAATCTTCCAAACATAGAATAAACCAGCTCAGGACAAGCTTATAATCAATCTTAACGCAGCGGGTAAACATGTGTTAGAAGCTTAGTGCTTCACGGGATTATAAACTGGGGGTGGAAACAAGCCAGGTTGAACAGAGTAACAGAAATACGTGGCTTTTTATGGTTTAAGAAAACAACAACAACAACAACAGAACAGAATAACAGAGTTGGAAGGGCCCAGAACAGTGTAGGGTCTCCCGTTTGAGCAAGGGGTTGGACTAGAGGACCTCCAGGGTCCCGTCCAACTCTGTTCTTCTGCAAGGGTCTCCTGCTTGAGCGAGGGGTTGGACTAGAGGACCTCCAGGGTCCCTTCCAACTCTGTTATTCTATGATTCTGTAAGGGTCTCCTGCTTGAGCAGGGGGTAGGACTAGAGGACCTCCAGGGTCCCTTCCAACTCTGTTATTCTATGATTCTGTAAGGGTCTCCTGCTTGAGCAGGGGGTTGGACTAGAAGACCTCCAGGGTCCCTTCCAACTCTCTTGTTATTTAATTAAACAGTAGAATATCTTCCCTCTAGAAGTTGTGGGTGCTTCATCACTGGAGGTTTTCAAAAAGAAATTGGACAATCATTTTTGTGAAGGGGTACAGGGTCTACTGCTTGAGCAGGGGGTTGGACTAGAAGACCTCCAAGGTCCCTTCCAGCTCATTCCTCCTAAGTGCACAGACACAGTGCACATAAGTGCACACTGTTTTTGCTACTGGGTGCAAGTGTGTGGTCTACTGGGAGATGTTTTATCTGTAAAACCAAGCAGATAAATATGCCTGGAGCAGGGTTTCCTAACCTCAGCGAGTTTAAGATAGCTTTGCTGGCTAGGGAATCCTGGGAGTTGAAGTCCACCCATCTCAAAATATGCTGAGATTCAGAAACATTGACTGGCTGGGGAATTCTGGGAGTTGAAGTCCACATCTCAGAGTTGCTGAGGTTCAGAAACATTGACTGGCTGGGGCATCTTGGGAATTGAAGTCCATCCATCTCAAAATATGCTGAGGTTCAGAAACATTGGCTGGCTAGGGAATTCTGGGAGTTGAAGTCCACCCATCTCAAATCGCTGAGGTTCAGAAACAATGGTTGGCTGGGGAATTCTGGGAGTTGAAGTCCACATCTGAAAGTCTCTGAGGTTCAGAAACACTGGATGTCTGGGGAATTCTGGGAGTTGAGGTCTACGTCTCATAGTTGCTGAGGTTCAGAAACGTTGACTGGCTGGGGCATCTTGGGAATTGAAGTCCACTCATCTCAAAATATGCCGAGGTTCAGAAACATTGGCTGGCTGGGGAATTCTGGGAGTTGAAGTCCACAAGTCTTAAAGTGGCCATGTTGGAGACCCCTGGCCTAAGAAATCAACGACAGGACAGCTGAGATGATGGCTGACGGACAGTTGCCGTGTTTGTTGACCTCTTGTCTAAGGGATCCGTGACAGGACAGCTGAGATGATGAGTGATGGACAGTTGACAGGAGGGGCCTGACCTAGGACACCTGACAGGTCCTTGTGAGGAGACACACACACACACACACACACAACTCAACCACCATTTATGGAGTGCTCCAATTCCCCCACACAATACCTGGTCCTTTCAGACCAGAGGATTAATCTGGACGTGTATGTTTAATGCTGAATCATTTCCAAATAATAAAGCTTTTGTAGATTAACAGCGGAGGCTCTCGGTCTGCCGGGCCTCCCTCGCAGCGTTCAAACCACCAGCTAAGATCTCCCAATTCAAATCCGTCCTGCAGGCCTCAAGTATGAGTCATCTTCGTTTCTCTGAAGGACTTTTTTTTTTCCTTTTCCAGAAGCAAATCCTTTCCAACTCTCCTTTCAGGAACATTTATTTTTTAATTTCTTTCTGTCAAGTGGCCCTTCTCCTCCTTTCCCAGATCGGACGCCAGAAAGGTCAAAGACCCTTCAGCTCCGAGGACCTCGCTCCGTTCTTATATAATAATAATATAATAATAATAATAATAATAATAATAATAATAATAATAATAATAATAATAATAATAATAATAATAGTAATAGTAATAGTAGTAGTAGTAGTAGTAGTAATAGTGGTAATAATAGTAATAGTAGTAGTAATAGTAATAGTAGTAGTAATAGTAATAGTAGTAGTAGTAGTAATAGTAGTAGTAGTAGTAGTAATAATAATAATAATAATAATAATAATAATAATAATAATAATAATAATAATAATAATAATAATAAAAACTTGGAAGGGACCTTGGAGGTCATCTAGTCCAACCCCCTGCTCAGGCAGGAAACCCTATACCAGTGATGGCGAACCTTTTAGAGACCAAGTGCCCAAAAACTGCCCCCGAATCCCCTACTCAGGCAGGAGACCCTATACTATTTCAGACAAATGGCTGTCCAGTCTCTTCTTCAAAACCTCCAGTGGTGGAGCATTCACCGCTTCTGGAGGCAGGTTGTTCCACTGGTTAATTCTCCTCACTGTCAGGAAATTTCTCCTTAATTCCAGGTTGCTTCTCTCCTTGGTTGGTTTCCATCTGCCACTTCTTGTCCTGCCTTCAGGCCCTTTGGAGAACAGCTTGACTCCCTCTTCTTTGGGGCAGCCCCTGAGATACTGGAACGCTGCTATCATGTCCCCCCCTCATCCTTCTCTTCATTAAACTAGACATTCCCCAATTCCAGCAACATATTGTTTGTTGGACAGCGCTATATCCACAAATATAGTGGATGCTGCCCAAATCTGAGTTTTTGCATTATCAGAACGTCATAGATCATAGGCTAATAGGATTGGAAGGGACCTTGGAGGTCATCTAGGCCAACCCCCTGCTCAAGCAGGAGACCCTATACCAAATGGCTGTCCGGTCTCTTCTTGAAAACCTGCTATTCCCCTTTGTGCTATTCATTCTTTCGCACTTTCAATAGTGCTTTATTACTTCTTCCTCTTCAAGCAATCCCACAGCTCAGGAAATATTTATACCTTTTGCAAAGAACAAACCCTTTCATCATCTTTAGAAATATATATATATATATATATATATTATATATATATATATCTTTTAAGTTAGCCCTAAAGCGTTTGTCTAGCTAGGCTTGATTTATGCCCGTCAAAGGCTGTTGCAAAGTCAGATATAAATGGACTTCCGATCAAGCTGTGGTTGAACAATGCAGCTGATTTAAACACATGTGGGTTTCTGTGAAAACTCTGGCTAAAGAGAATAAAAGGATCGTGGGGTTAAAATTTAAGGGCAGGAGACGTTTAGCAGCTGGAATACTATTTCAGAGACAAAGGGATGGATGGATTGAACTCTGGAAGCTGTTTAAGGAATTAACAGGGTGAACTTCAGATCAATTTATTATCAATGCTCCAGTGCTTTTTTCAGTGACGTCGCAACTTTGAACGGTCACTAAAACGAACTGTTGTAAGTCGAGGTCTACGCGTAAGGGAAATCTGGGGAGAAACTGTGGCCGTTAAGTCGAGGAACGCCTGGAACCGGAGCGAATTTTTAAAGCAAATTAAATAAAGGGTGAATTGTTTGCTCTTAAGAGGATGCAATGAAACTTTCTTTAATTGCTTTGCAAATATTCCCTCGATCAGACAGTTCGTTCGTTTGCTGGTGATATGTTAACGAGGTTCCTTCTGACACTTAATGATTCTCCGGGGCGTCATTTGCATAAGGAAATGAAGTCATCGAACGGGAGCAAGCTGAACAGGGGGAAACCGAGGCACGAGCGAGGGATTTCATTCTGGCTGGTCACTGGTGGACCCAAAGCCACACGTACCAATTACAAATTTTGTATTTTCTGACCCGACACACACATACACCGACAATTTTATCTCCATTCCATTCAGAATAAAGATCCCGTGGAGCGTTAATACCACTTTACAATGCCTTGGTAAGGCCACACTTGGAATCCTGCATTCAGTTTTGGTCACCACGATGTAAAAAAGATGTTGAGACTCTAGAAAGAGTGCAGAGAAGAACAACAAAGATGATCAGGGGACTGGAGGCTAAAACATACGAGGAACGGTTGCTGGAATTGGGTATGTCTAGTTTAACGAAGAGAAGGACGAGGGGGGACATGATAGCAGTCTTCCAGTATCTCAGGGGCTGCCCCAAAGAAGAGGGAGTCAAGCTATTCTCCAAAGCACCTGAAGGCAGGACAAGAAGCAACAGATGGAAACTCATCAAGGAGAGAAGCAACCTGGAATTAAGGAGGAACTTCCTAACAGAACAATTAACCAGTGGAACAACCTGCCTCCAGAAGCTGTGGATGCTCCAACACTGGAAGTATTTAAGAAGAGACTGGACAGCCATTTGTCCGAAATGGTATAGGGTTTCCTGCCTGAGCAGGGGGTTGGACTAGATGACCTCCAAGGTACCTTCCAACTTTATTATTATTATTATTATTATTATTATTATTATTATTATTATTATTATTATTATTATTATTATTATCATTATCATCATTGTTGTTTTGTTGTTGTTGTTGTTTTTGTTGTTGTTTTTGTTGTTACTCCAGGCTTACTCTTTTGAAGGATCACAGATTATTATTACTATTATCATTATCATTATCATTATCATTATATCCTTTATATTTCTCCCTTATAAAGGATCAGGGCCGTTTCTGCAATGGGCGAGTCTAAATTTCATTTCTCTTGCAAAAAGTCCTTTTTTTAAAAACGACGGTTTCAAAGGTTCCAGGCTGGGAAATCTGCAGCTGAATCAATTGTTGCATTGATCCTCACCACTCGGACCGGCTCGTTCTGACTTGTCGGAAACAGACAGAAAACGGTCAGAAGGCCTTGATCTGAGAAAATCACAAGGAACCCTCCTAGCGGGTTTCAACGTGGCTGAGAAAAAAGATAGAATAAAATATCCTGAACCCCAAGTTGAAATGTGGGGTCCCTGGTGGTCTCTGAGCTGAGTGGTTTTCTTGCAAACGTTTCATGACCCAACTAGGGAACATCATCAGTGCTAGAAGGGAACGGGGGTTGTGGAGAGGAGGAGGAGGAAGAGAAGGAAGAAGAGGAGGAGGAAGAGGAGGAGGAAGAAGAGGAGGAAGAGAAGGAAGAAGAGGAGGAGGAAGAAGAGAAGAAGAATAGGAAGAGAAGGAAGAAGAGAAGGAGGAAGAAGAAGAAGAGGAGGAGGAGGAAGAAGAGGAGGACAAAGAAGAGGAGGAGGAGGAGGAGGAGGAGGAGGAGGAAGAGAAGGAAGAAGAGGACGAGGAAGAAGAAGAAGAGGAGGAGGGAGAAGAGGAGGAGGAGGAAGAGAAGGAAGAAGAGGAGGAAGAGAAGGAAGAGGAGGAAGAAGAGAAGGAGGAAAAAGAGGAGGAGGAGGAGGAGGAGGAAGAGAAGAAGAGGAGGAGGAGGAAGAAGAAGAAGAAGAAGAAGAAGAAGAAGAAGAAGAAGAAGAAGAAGAAGAAGAAGAAGAAGAAGAAGAAGAAGAAGAAGAAGAAGAAGAAGAAGAAGAAGAAGAAGAAGAAGAAGAAGAAGAAGAAGAAGAGGGGAAGGAGAAAGAGGAGAAGGAAGAGGAGGAAGAAGAAGAGGAGGAGGAAGAAAAGGAAGAAGAGGAGGAGGAAGGAGGAAGAAGAGAAAGAGGAGGAGGAAGAAGAGAAGAAAGAAGAAGAAGAGGAGGAGGAGGAGGAGGAAGAGGAAGGAGGACTGTGGGGTCCTTGATGCTCTCTGAGCTTGGTGGTTTTCTTGCAGACGTTTCATTACCAAACTAGGTAACATCCTCAGTGCCAGAAGGTGCAAACCCCACTTCCTGATGACATTACCCAGTCGGGTAATGAAACGTCTGCAGGAAAACCGCCCAGCTCAGAGAGCACCCAGGACCCTGTAATAATCCCCTCCTCCTCCTCCTCCTCCTCCTCCTCCTCCATCTCTGCAAATCCCCCTCCCTTCTACCACTGATGATGTTACCTAGTTGGGTCATGAAACGTCTACAAGAAAACCACCAAGCACAGAGAGCACCAAGGACCCCACAGGAAAAAAATAATAATAATCTCCTTTGCTTTCCCAGCGCTGTTGTGCGTCCTTTCCTTTCCTCTCTCTTTAGAGCACAATTCCTGTCCCATTTTTTTCACTTTATGCTTATTTTCGCTGAAATCCCCTTCGGACTCGTTTATTTGATATCCAAAGCATCATGACCTTACTACACAAAAAGGATATCTTTGCAGAACTTACATAATCCGCTATCATTTGTGCAATAATAAGAAATGTGACAAATTACGTAAGATACGTCTGGTTGTGTCATAAGGCGACGCCAGCTCAAAACGGCACAGACACCTCCTCATCGCAATGCAGAGTTGGGGGTTCCTTCGGCATCACAAAAAAGCACGGGGTCAGCAAAACCGAAGCGACGGGTGGTTTAAATTGTGCAAGAGTCTGTCGCTTCTGGTGCGACAGACTCTCAGAAAACTGCACGATCGAAGGATGATTAAAGAATTTTGGATTTTTACGGGATTCCAAAAATTTTTAGTTCCATCATTATAGCGTCTGCCTTAGGGCAACAATGTAGGGAAGCAACGCCAAGGATCAGCAACGGCAAAAAAAATAGTGTAAACGATACTCCGCAAAAAAGATGAGGAGCCCAGAAAATCAAAGTCAGTGTATTTTGCAAAACATTAAACCAACTGCCCTTCTAGCACTGAAGATGTGACCAAGTTGGGTAATGAGACGTCTATAAGAAAACAACCAAGCTCGGAGGGAGGGAGGGAGGGAGGAAGGAAGGAAAGAAAATCAATTATTACAACCAAGCTCAGGAAGGGAGGGAGGGAGAGACGGNATTATGACGTTACCTAGTTGGGTAATGAAACATCTATATCAATCAAGCTTTGAGAGTACCCCACGAAACATCAAAGCCCCCCAACACCATGCTTTCGAGATGGGGCGTGGTGGAAGCAACGTGTCATGCTTCTTGACATCACCGTGCCTTTAAGTCGAAGCTTTGGATCTGATTCAGAGTAGATCACCAGCGCCACAGGACGACAGCTCTGACATCCTGGTGCTTCCTCATGTTCAGTCTGGGAAAAGGGTGCGTTTTTGCTTCAGGCCACCAACAATGTATCACAAAACTGCGTTCTCACTTAACTTGGGCCTTGTCACGCGGGGGGTGGGAATTCCCCAGAGAAGGCAATTATGTTGGGAAGAGTTCGTGATCAAAGGCAACCAGGCCACCAAAAAAGACGGTGGCCGGACACCATCCCAGCGGACGCCCGCCAGAGCGCAGATCGACTCAAAGACGCGGCGCGAGATCGGAAGAGATCGGAGGGACCCCCTGGCCCTTAGAATCGCCAAGAATCCGGTACGAACGGATGGACAACGTCATCATCATTATCATTATCATCATCATCAACAACAACAAGGGCAATTTCAAAAGGGAAATGGTGCAACTTTAACCCTCCCCCCAAAAAATCCCAGCCCTCCTTCAACTTCCTGCTCACTCCTGGTCGTCTTACCTGGGACGGATGCAAGTACGGCTCAGGCGATGCCAAATTCGTCTGCACGGAGATACTCTTCTCCAGCAGGATCTGCGGAAAGGCAAGCTTCTCAAAGGGGTTGCGCTTCCAGTGCTTGTTCTCCTGCTGGGCCAGCGCCTCGTCCTCGCTGAAGGCGCGCACTACCGGACCTGGCATAGGCAGCGGTACAGCCCCATCGCTCTCGTACCCCGAACCGTCCTTCTGGGAGTCCCAACTGCTGCGCTGCTTCATGTAGTAGTGGGCCTGCTGCGCCTCCCAAGCCAGGCGGGCCTGAGCTAGGAAGGGCTCCGCCGAAGCCCTGCTGGGCTCTCCCTCTACCGACCGGCTCTCCAGACGCCCGCCCGGGGACCGGCTGCACCCGGACAGAGGCCTGTCCTCTGGTGTACCTTCCTCGCGCTCGCCGGACCCGTCGGTGGAGGAGGTGTTGGGGTCGTACGAAAGAGTGGGCTTCCGGCTCTTTCGTTTGCGGCTGCCCGGGGAGTATCCCGTGGAGGACAAGGTGTTCTGCAGGCTGGAGCAGGACATGGCGTCCTCCCCCTGCGACGGCACGACGGCCGAAGGGCTGTGCCGGAACTCTGCCGCTTCCATGCTGCTGTAGTCCCCGGATTTGACCTCCAGGCGCTGGTCCCGCATCAGGCAGGGGCTGTGCTGCAGCGAGTAGGAACCGCCGATGGGGTTGGGGGAGTATTTGTGCCGGGGGGCGCTCTTCAGGGTAGGGCTGGATCCCACCTGCTCCACGTACACCAGTTGCCGCACGTACTCCTTGCCGGCCGGGCTGTACTCCAGGCTCATGAAGCGGTCCGAGCCTTTCTGCTTGGTCAAGACAAGCTGCTGGTACGGCGAATTGGAGCCCGGCTTCGGCGACTGCAGGAACGGGTGGGGCTTGCGGATGGGCGACTTTTGGGGCGAGCCCGCCTTGTAGCTCCCGCTGGCCTCGAACTGCATATCCACCGGCGGCTCGTCGTAGATGGGGGCCTGGTACTCCATGGGAGGCTCCTCGTACAAGGGTGGCTCGTAGGCGTAGCGCGGAGAGGAGGGCTGCGACTCGCTGGAGTGCTTACGGTGCTGGCCCTGCATCGGGGAGCAGAAGGGATCCCCCCGGCCCAGCAGCGGGGAGCAGCTGCCCACATGATCGGCCCGTTTCAGGAAAGGCGACTGCTTCCGCTCTGGGAAGAAAACCGAGTTGTCAGAATCGGTGGCAAAGGTTTGGAGGTTGGGGGACGGCTGGCTGCCCGAGGGCCTCCGCGACCGAGTGCCCTGCTGATGGTCAAGGGTGTAGCCGTTACCCTGGTGCATCAGGAAGCTGGGCTCGCGGTCCGTCACCTTGATCAGCATCCTCTCCTTCGTCCCCGTGTTCCACCGGAGAGAAGATGCCCTAGCAGAGGAGAAAGAGAATGGGGATCAGGAAGAAGGATAAGAGATGTCTTCTCGTCAATAGGCGTCGTATTTTTGTCAGGACTTCTCTACGTCGGTTAACACAAAAAGAGACCGGAAGAACAACATTCATTGGCAGAACCCCAAATGACCCAGCGTGTTCGTGAAGGATTCCTCCTTTGGGGAACCTTTGGAGAACTTGCCCTACCACAATCTAGACCGAGGCTCTCCAAAGAACATTCATTGGTAGAACCCCAAATAACCCAGCATGTCCATAAAGGATTCCTCCTTTGGGAGAACTTGCCCTACCACGATCTAGACCGGGGGCTCTCCAAACTTTGGCAGTTTTTAAGATCTGTGAACTTCAACTCCGAGAATTCCTGGCTGTCCCCAAGTTTTCAGGTTGCCCAGTTTGCAGAGCCCTGAAAGCACCTGCGTGACACAATCACACCTTACAAGTACCGATTGGTTAAACTGTGGTAATTTCATTCATTTGATTTATATCCCGCCTTTATTGCTTTTACAGAAATAGGAGAAAAGCAAGCTAAGCTGGAAGGTGGAATTAAACATGTCATTAGTTTTGCATTGCCAGAACGGTTCCAAATGAATTCCGTTGAACCTTATCTAGGGCACCTTAGCTTGGACTGTTAGGTCACTAGATCTTTATATTAGCGCTGGCAACAATGAACTCTTCCGTGGCTTGATACTCAACGAACGTTCCTAGCTATTGCTCCTGGAAATAACGCAAGGTGGCAAACATATCCTATATCAGTGGTGGCGAACCTATGGCACGCGTGCCAGAGGCGGCACTCAGAGCCCTCTCTGTGGGCACGCGTGCCATGCCCCAGAGATGGCAACCATCCCTCTTCAACCAGCCACCCGCTAACTTGCCGAGGTCCCACGTGGCCGGATGCATCCCAGCACAGCTAGTTCCCCCCCCGTCCTGTCCCTCCTGGCTCGCATGCTCTCCTTTTCCCGGGCACGACCCACTGCATCCCCTCCTCAGGTCGGTCAGCTGGCCGTCCAGCTCAGAGGCGGCTTCTCTGAACTACTGGCAGTGGGCTGCGGAGCCCCAGAGTGCACCGGTCGAGGGGGCGGCAGGCTGTGGCTGCTGACGGACACTGTCGGCTCTCATGCGCTCGCTGGCCTCTGTGTGCGGGGGCCAATGGTGTCAGGCAGCAGCCGCCCCATCCCCTGCCTCGCCTTGCCCTGCGATAATGGTACCTCCAACCTGCCTCGCCTCATCCCACAGGAAGAGCCTCCTGCCCACCGCCCCACCTGCCGGAGAGCCCCTGGATCTCCCCAAACCCTGCCCGGCCCACAGGCATCCCTCCCCACGAGCAACATCAAGGTGACCACACCCACCTTGGCCACACCCACCTAGTCTGCCATGACCACCACAGCCATGCCCACCCAGTGGGCCACGCCCACCTGGCACCCGGCAATAAATAAGTGGGTTTTGGGTTGCAGTTTGGGCACTCGGTCTCTAGAAGGTTCGCCATCACTGTCCTCCTAGATGTTCCCCCTTCCTTCCTCTTCCTTTCTTCCCATGGACCCCTCATACCTTAAGGCAGCGTTTCTCAACTCTGTGTCGACTGTCCCGTTGGCATATGCAGCAAAAGAAACTCCTGGGACGTTATTTGGCCAAGAATATAACTTTGCCGATAGTTCCACGCAGGCACAGAAGGAGCAAAGCCATTTCTGAAGTTTCCGCGCCCAAAGTGGCGTAAGTAAACTCCCCTTTCACCCCCCCTGGGCCACCCACTGTTCACTGTCCACCAATCAATTACCCTCAATTGGTTTTGGGAAACGGTCTGAGCGCCTGGGAATTTCTCCCAACATTTGTCCTCGGGCACCAGGAAGTTGCCAAGCGACAGCTGGCTCTCGTGCATTCCACAATTCCCTCCCAACCCTCTCTTAAGTCCCAAACCGGCCCACCCACCCCTCCCTGCTTCTGTTGTCTGGCTGCGAGCGGAGTCAGTCGTGACACTTTGGCAACTTTTGAGAGGTGCCCAGAAGTCCCCAGCCAGCATGCCTTACAGCAGTGGTGGCGAACCTATGGCAGGGGTGCCAGAGGCGGCGCTGAGAGCCCTCTCTGTGGGCACGCGCGCCATTGCCCCAGTCCTAGGCCTTCAGCTGGGTTTTATAAAACCTTTTCGCTTTAGGCCTCCGCCACTGTGTGCAAAAAAAAAAAGTTCAATCAGTCAATTTCAACTTCTCGCGGGAAAAAAAAGATCTTGCAAAGTTGGAATTGATTGATTGAACTTTTTAGTCCCACCCAGTCTGCCGTTACCACCGCAGCCACGCCCACCCAATGGGCCACACCCATCCAATGGGCCACACCCACCCGGCGCTCGACGATGCATAAGTGGGTTTTGGGTTGCAGTTTGGGCACTCGGTCTCTAAAAGGTTCGCCATCACTGCCTTACACGAATGACCATCCTTGGATCCCCATCCCACTGATGCTTTTGGGGGAACTGATGTCCGACACACCTTTGAAAGCACCAGGGTGGAGAAAGTTGATCTGATACTGTTAGTTCTCAATTGACAAACGCTGGTGGCGCAGTGGTTAAAATGCCGTATTCCAGGCTACTTCTGTTGACTGCTGGCTGCCAACAGTTCAGCAGTTTGATCCTGACTGGCTCAAGGTTGACTCAGCCTTCCGTCCTTCCGAGGTCGGTAAAAGGAGGACCCAGATTGTTGGGGTGCAAGAGGCTGACTCTGTAAACCTCTTAGAGAGAACTGTAAAGCACCGTGAAGAGGTGTACAAGGCTAACTGCTACTTCTAGTGCCTTCCTTCCTCCCTCCCTCCCTTCCTTCCTTCCTTCCTTTCCTTCCTTCCCTCCCTCCCTCCCTCCCTCCCTTCCTTCCTCTTTCCTTCCTTCTTTCCTTCCTTCCCAGTGGTTAGAATGCAGTATTGCAGGCTAACTCTGCCCACAGCCTGGAGTTCGATCCTGACCGGCTCAAGGTTGACTCACAGCCTTCCATCCTTCCAAAGTCGCTAAAAGGAGGACCCAGATTGTTGGGGGGCAGCAGGCTGACTCTCTGTCAACTGCTTAGAGAGGGCCGTAAAAACACTGTGAAGCGGTATATAAGTCTAAGTGTTGTTGCTATTGCTGTCGCTGCAGAAGGCTGAGTCAACCTGGAGCCGGTCAGGGTTGAACTCCTGGCAGTGGGCAGAGTTAGCCTGCAATACAGCATTCTAGTTCAGAGGTCCCCAACCGGGGACGCGGCATGCCAGCAACCGGTCCGCACAAACAAGCAAAGCCCCATCCACAGGATGCAGGCAGCACACAAAACCACGCACCCTCCGGTCCGTGAAAAAACGTCTCTCCACAGAACAGGTTGGGAACCTCCGTTCTAGCTAGTCTAACCACTGCACCACTACGGCTCTTTATAGTCAGAAAGATGCATTTGTGTGGCTTGGATTCGGCTACGTCAGCCTGTTTCTTGGAAAATCAATGGAGCTGGATGTTAGAAATGTATTTTCTGATGCCTCCTTGCCATGATGATTTACCAGCATCCTACTTCTGTGATCCTTCAAAAGAGTAAGCCTGGAGTAACATCATCATCATCATCATCATCATCATCATCATCATCATCATCATCATCATCATCATCATCATCATCATCATCATCATCATGTTGGAAGGGACCTTCGAGGTCATCTAGTCCAACCCCCTGCTCAGGCAGGAAACCCTATACCATTTCAGACAAATGGCTGTCCAGTCTCTTCTTAAAAACTTCCAGTGTTGGAGCATTCACCGCTTCTGGAGGCAGGTTGTTCCACCGGTTAATTGTTCTAACTGTCAGGAAGTTTCTCCTTAGTTCTAGGTTGCTTCTCTCCTTGATCAGTTTCCATCCGTTGCTTCTTGTCCTGCCTTCAGGTGCTTTGGAGAATAGCTTGACTCCCTCTTCTTTGGGGCAGCCCCTGAGATATCGGAAGACTGCTATCATGTCCCCCCTCGTCCTTCTCGTCATTAGACTAGACCACAGGTCGGCAACCTGCTGCTCCCAGCCTCCTCTGCCATTTGCAGAGAGAGACAGAGACAGAGAGAGGCGCTTGCCTTCCTCTCTCTCTCTCTCTCTCTCTCTCTCTCTCTCTCTTTCTCTCTCTCTCTCTCTCTCTCTCTCTCTCTCTCTCTCTCTCTTTCTGTGTGTTTGTGTGTAAAAAAGAGAGTGGATTCAAGGTGTTCTCCAACGAGCTGAAAAGCTTTTTGAGCGGGGCTCTTCCCTTTGCTGCGTCTCTGCAGGAAGCAGAAAGCAGGAAGGGCAGGAGAGAGCTAGGTAGCCCAGCTATGCTGACTCAGGAATTCTGGGAGTTGAAGTCCATGAGTCATAAAAGAGCCGAGGTTGCCTACCCCTGAGTTTGTTGGAGAACAGCTTGAAGCCAGCTTGCCAGGTGAGCAGAAGATCGGAGAGAGAGAGGGGGAGGAGAGGGAGAGAAAGAGAGAGAGAGGGAGAAAAGAGAGAGACAGAGAGAACCTTTTGACATCTAAAATGAAGATAACACTGCATATATCCTCTTTTACCTTTAATACACACACACACACACCTATAATAAAGGTAAAAAAGGATATATGCAGTCTTAGCTTCATTTTAGATATCAAAAGGGTTTTGCGGCTCCCAGTGTTTTGTTTTTGGTGGGAAATGGGTCCAAGTGGCTCTTTGAGTGTTTTGGGTTGCCTACCCCTGGACTAGACAGACCCAATTCCAGCAACCGTTCCTGATATGTTTTAGCCTCCAGTCCCCTGATCATCTTTGTTGCTCTTCTCTGCACTCTTTCCAGAATCTCAACATCGTTTTTACATTGTGGTGACCAAAACTGGATGCAGTATTCCAAGTGTGGCCTTACCAAGGCCTTGTAAAGTGGTATTAATAGGCACTGTAAAGTGGTATTAATATTCCTAACCAACAGGGCAGGCTGGGACTCACCTAGTGGAATAATCCTAACTAATATAATTATCTATATGAGAATCCATGGCGTTGCCCGGCAGATAA